TTTTGAAGGTGATTTTTACAAATGTTATCATTAACAGATTTCCAAAGACATCCCACTAGTATCTGATTGGTTAGAAATCTGCGTATTTTTATACAATCACAGAATCAGCGAATGTCAGGGGTTGGAAGGGACCTCAAAAGATCATCTGGTCCAGCCCCCTGCCAGAGCAGGATCACCTACAGTAGGTCACACAGGAAGGCATCCAGGTGGGTTTTGAATGTCTCCAGAGAAGGAGACTCCACAACCTCCCTGGGCAGCCTGTGCCAGTGCTCTGTCACTCTCACAGTGAAAAAGTTTTTCCTAATGTTTTTTTGGAACCTCCTATGTTCCAGCTTGTACCCATTGCCCCTTGTCCTGTCATTGGATGTCGCTGAAAAGAGCCTGGCTCCGTCCTCCTGACACTCTCCCTTGATGTATTTAGAAACATTTATAAGCTCACCCCTCAGCCTCCTCTTCTCCAAGCTAAAAGAGACCCAGCTCCTTCAGCTTTTCCTCATAAGGAGATGTTCCACTCCCTTCCTCATCTTTGTGGCTCTGCGCTGGACTCTCTCAAGCAGTTCCCTGTCTCTCCTGAGCTGAGGGGCCCAGAAATGGACACAATCTCTTCCCCTCCCTTGTACTCCAACCTACCTGCACATGGGCCCACCTAAATTGCTTTACTTATCCATCTCCCCTCAGTCTTTACTTATGCCTGGACTAAATGAGTTTAGCTTTTTCTTGTCTCTGGCTACTATGGCCCCTGCTGTACGTTGTATACTTACTACACACTAAGTATGTCATCACTGTACAGAAGGTAGGAGAGCCCTGGGTTTTGTGTTGCTGAATACATTAGACTCAAAACCAGAGCTTGATGGTTCAGAGTGAAACACATCTAGAAAAACAGTTGCTGCCAAGCCGTGCCTGTTAATTCCAAGCTGTAGAGAAATACCACATTTAAGTCCGGATTTCTACCTTGTTAACTGAAAAAAAAAGAAACTTCCAAGCTGCACTAAGTTTTCAAAAACAAAATCCTTTGAATGCTGGCTGAAGTGCATTGCATGAGCTAAAGGCCAAATCCTGTGAGGTTTGCTCTGTCGACTACAGGCCTGTATTTCCTTTTTTACAGAACTTCATCACCTTGTAGAATTTACCCTCCTCAAACACTTGGGGGAAAACAACAAGCTGTCAAGGTAAATAAGGGGTTGCAAGAAACAACAAGCAATGCAAAAATGAGTATCTTTTGACAAGGGAACACAGAAAATCTCCTGTCTTAATGAAGACAGTTAAAACAGGAAGAAAATAAAAGCAGAACAATAAAGAAATGCTGAAGTTCATAACTCAGAATGTCTTTTTTAGCTGCTTTGATAGTTGTGTAAGTACCTCAACATTGAATTTCAAATGTGAGCATGCATTAGAAGAAACAACTAGCAAGGGCATGGGTATTACTTACCCTATGAAGACAGACTGAGAGAGTTGGGGCTGTTCAGTCTGCAGAAAAGAAGGCTCTGAGGAGACCTTATGGTGGCCTTCCAGTATCTCAAGGGGGCTACAAGAAAGCTGGTGAGGGGCTTTTTTAGGATGTCGGGTAGTGACAGGACTAGAGGGAATGGATTGAAGCTAGAGATGGATCGGTTCAGATTGGACGTGAGGAAGAAGTTCTTCCCCACAAGGGTGGTGAGACACTGGCACAGGTTGCCCAGAGAGGTGGTGGAAGCCCCATCCCTGGAAGTTTTTAAGGCCAGGCTGGATGGGGCTCTGAGCAGCCTGATCTAGTGGGGGATGTCCCCGTCCATGGTGGGGGATTTGGAACTAGATGATCTTTAAGGTCCCTTCCAACCCTGACAATTCTATGATTCTATGATCTTTAAATTCTACTCTAATAAATGCGTCTCTTTAAAACAAAACTGTTAAAAATATATGACATTCATCCAAAATAACTGGGAAGTAGAGGAAAAACAATATCACTCCAGCTCTGAACAGTAGTGTCTAAAGTGACAAAATCACTTCCGTAAGTATTTCAAGTTTTTTGGCTGCAGACAATTTAGACAAGTCCTAACTCTTTCTTTAAAGTCAAGGTTAAGCTAGAAGTATCTTCTTAAATTTACCCTGCAGTTAGTGTTTTCTACTTATAAAAAAAAAAAAAAATCTGAAAATGACAATGACTTGAAAATTGAATTCTAAACTCCCAGTAAGGATACTTATTATAACCAGAACACCAGAAAACACATCTGTGATATCCTGTGGTGCAGTACTGCAGCTACAACCTCACAACTCCGACATGGCACAAAATGGACATGCTTCTACATACACAAAATCTCAAGGAAAAGAGGCACCGCCATCTCTCTGCCTCCCCTACAACCTAACTTCAAACAGGTCAGCCCATAGCAACTGGTCAGGCAGCAGCTGTCAAAACCCAGTTCTACCTTCTTGGCAAGACGGAGAGCCTAAACAACCATTGTAAAATTGGAATCCTTTTTTCCATGCGGAAATAAAATGCGTTTTAGAAGGCATGAGCATGCTTTTACAAGAAGAAATGCAGGCCTGGGAGAAAAAGAGGAAGTGGTATCACCGAGGGGGAAAAAAAAAAGCATACCAGTTAATAACTGCAAAAAGAATGTTACTCAGCATCAGCTGACTGTCAGTGCCTACCAAATATTCAGGTGGTGAGATTGTACAGAGCAGATACTGTACAGATTCCTGCATTTTGCAGCAGCAGCCTGGGATAACTGCTGCTCATCAGCAGCCATCAACTTGCTCATTAACTGCTGCTACCAGCTGCTTCTTGGCAACTACAATTTCAAGTAGCCCATAAGCACACAACAAAATTAGCTGCTGCAAAAATCAGTTAACATTCAGCAGCTAATGAGCACTGACTAATGTATGCAGACTCTTAACAGCCTGATCAACAACGCAAGAGCAGCAACTGCACCAACAGGTCATGAGTAGATCATCTAGCACCTACCCCACTGCAACAGAGTAGGAATTTACAGAGAGGTCACAAGGTTGTGACAAGCTAACATTTTCTTACATACTTTGTGTAGGAGAACTACAGGAGAAAGGACACGTTCATTACGTACCAGCCTTAGTAAAAAGCTGATTTCCCACAATGATACTCGTATGCAGTATTCCGAAGCTATCAGACATAGAAGTTTAAAATGCAAGAATTAACAAAGCTTGCTATCTTGTCACTTGCTTAATCCCACAGAAATCCAGGTCATCACCAAAAAAGGCAAATTCTCATTCCGTTCCTCACGCCAGCACTTGTGTGGCCAGCCTTCTTACCGAGCTCACTGGCCTGAATGGTTTCTGAAAATGAGTTAGTTTTCCCCGGAATCAGTCCCCACTCCCTCTTGTTCAGAGGTAGCACAAGCATCAAGGAGGAAACCAGGACACTTTTTGAGTGGAGTAAGGGGACCATCGGCACCACATCAGTTTAACACAGTAATGAAGAGTAAACCCTTAGTCATGTTAATTTTTAATGCACTGACTTAAGTAACAGCTATGCTGCCAGTTACAAACAACAGTTCTGTATGACAAAACATTTAGTTAAATTACAGACTGTCATAAGGAACGTTGAAAAGGTACCCACTGAGGCCTTCAGGTAGGTCTTACCTGAAGAGAAGTGCAATTCTCAATACAGACAAGGCAACTACTTCTTCCAAATTCTGAATTCATGTTAATTTTTGTTTATCATACATCAGTAGCTCAAGATGCCATAACCCAACTGTTTATTGGGAAAGAACATTCCAATACAGCATTTGAACTTTTGCTTAGAAATTATTTTAGAAGTTTTTAAAGAGAATTTGAGATTCAGACTTCATAAAAATCAGTTAACTGCATACCAGAATCCTCGTTTCCCCTCGCTCACCTGTAATTGTACCCGTTTTTTAATTTGACAAACATATCAAAACCAAAAGAACTGTTCCCATGTTACAGGGAATGTTGCTATTTTCACAGCTTGTATTGGTGAAGCTATAAAATTAAAACAAAACTCACAATCCAAGTAAGCTGCAGAAAAAGAATCTCTCATCTTGCTTCACCTCTAATCCCTTATAAATAATAAAAAAAAAAGAAGTAAAAAAATCAAGTTCTACAATAGTAATATTTTCAGTTAAGTAGTAACTGGATTATTTACTATCACCTGTCACTGTAACTGCCCAGTGTTAACAAACTGACTTCTAGTCAATGAAATAAAGCTGTTAAGAGTAGAAAAAATTCCTCTTTGGAGAACACATAAAAAAATCACAGCTATTATAATAGAAATTCTGTTGTAAATATACCCAAAATAATTATCAAAGCATTTTGTTCATACAGGGATGGTGAAATCGACGAATTGATCCAAGAGAACCAATGACAGAAATGGATGCCTGGGCAACAATCTCAAATTTATCTGCTTGGGGACACAGACAGAACAAATTTGGAACCATGAAGTACACGGAAAGGGAGCTATTAACCCAAAGAAAAGACTTTAACAATGCTAAGTTCCCTGCATTATCCCACTAAACTGGTCTATTGTTCAGTGACGGCAGCAGTCTCTATTCACATTATTTTGTCTCTGCTCTCCAAAAACTCCTAAAGTGGCAAACTTTGGACTTAGATGTCCATTCAGACACTCACCAATCCCAATTTCAAAAAGCCAGATGCAGTGGCTTCCTGTTACAACTCAGATAAGAGTTTAAACTGGTGACCTGAAAAGAAGCAACCTGTAGTCTGTGAACCCCAAGTCATCTCATTCATTATACACTGCTGCCAAGACATTTTTAAATGTAAACCAATTTCATAACCAAGAACAACCAAAGTAACTCCATTCCTGACTACAGTACAAAATCTAAAGTAATACTCTGAAATATTTGTTAGGTCTTGAAAAGGTGCCCAAAATCATCACCTGTATCAATGCTTTAGACTCTGCACCTCATCCAGCAAATCTGACTCAAAAAGGAGCCAACATCACATGGCTACAACCATTTCAACATTCAACTACACACTGCAAGTGCTGTATGTTCCCCCCCTCATCCAGTCACTCAGTTGTGAAAAGGATTGCTCAGGTTTTGAGGTTCAAACACAGTCAGTTCTTTCCCATCATAAAACTCTTGCAGTTGGGTTGACTCATACTTTATGGAGGGTTTTTCAATGTGCATCCCAGGCTCTAGTGCACCCTGTCCAACTATCTTAAGATTCACAACTTTTATTTTCCATGTATTCTCCCTAATGGGACAGCTAATGAGTCCAAAAACTAGTTCGAAGATGCCCAAACAAGCATTGTCTCTATGTACTGTGCCAGCCACTGCTACCAGTACTAGCCCATGTCGAGACATGGCACACTTCAGTGCATCAGTGTGCAAATTAGGGTTGAACAGAAGATACTCGTCTTTAACCAGCGAGAGCAGACGAAGGCTGACCATTTCTGCACCAACATATTCTTCAACGTTTTTTTCTAATGTGTTGTAACAGAACTTCATTTTGGCATCCTCCCAAAAATGCTGTGGTCCCCATCTCTCTTCAGATTTTACTCCCAAGGGATGTTGAGAATTCAGAAGTGCAAAGAACCACTGACAGAATTCTTCTCCTAGATCATGAATGTCATCTTCTGGTGACTTTTGTCTCTCTTCATGAGTCTGCAATCAAGCACATTTTTTTTTTCTTAGAACTATTTAGCCTTAACATGGAACATTACCACTTAGAACAATATAAAATGATGTAAATGCTTATTTTAAACATTCTAAGTCTACTTCAAGTGTTCTGAGAGTGCCTGAAGAAAAACAACAAAGTAAAATCTCACTTATTTTTAAGATCATGATTATCTTACCTACATATTTTGTCTATACATTATAAAAAAAAAAAAAGAGGAAAACCCTGGTTCTACTGAAAAAGGGCAAGGGAAGAAACAAAATTTCTACCGAGTAAAAAGTGCCCAGGTTAGTAACTTTTCACTGGCCGTTACATTTCCGAGATGGTTACAGAAAAACAAAGATGCAGACCCAACTTGAATAGCTAATCTCACATTAAGGCATATCAACTTACTAAAAAGGGTTTATAAATACGCAATTACATTGACATGTCTGTCTCCTATGTCATGTTGCCTTCAGTCTCTTCTTTATGGTGTCTTTCAATTTGGTGAATTGTGTTGGTTTCTGCTTCTTCATATATCTGATAAGAACAAATAGTGCTTATCAGGAAATTGCTTTTTGACTATGCATATCCTAATACCTGAATCTCAGAGAATATTTCTGATTTATGAGGGTATTTTGCCTACGTCAGTGGAATACACTAGCAAAATGCACATGCAGCAGGAACTGCAACTCAAAGAATTAATGTATTCAAGAACTTTTTCTACACTAAATCACATGCTTTAATTTTGCCCTGTTTGGCACTAACACTGCCAAAAATCATTCAAAAAATGCTTGGTCATGTTAATGAGTGGTGTTTGTAGTTTGCCATATTTCTAAGGGGAAAAAAAGTGCAAATCAAAGAAGGCCATAACTTATGCCACCTTTGCTCCTCAAAACAGACAAAAGTCCTGAGTAATCTCAGTTACTCTTCTTATTGTACAACTGATCACTTAAACCAGACTGAGGCAATATGACAGTGGGATAGGTGGGCTGCAGGGTTTTTCACACAGCAGCATAGGCTCACTCTGGGAAAAAAGGCAACTCCATTCAGCCGGTCGTAAAATTCTTCCTTCTGACTATCATAAAGACCTTTGTTTCACACTGAATCTGCTTAGAAACTACTTTTAACTAGTGAGACAAAGTCAACATTGCTAGTAGGCGGCTAAACTTTCAAAGAATAACTTGAAAAGGCTCAGCCAAAGATTCTTGTCTTATCTAGAAGGCTTAGAGAACCGGCCAGTCAAAGAAAGCACTCAAGTATTCAAAACACATCTTGCGCTAGTTCCTTATAGGTTATGGACAAGCCACTCGCACACTTTTTTGCCTTGTTTTACAGAACACGACCCGCACAAACTCCTAAACCACATCTATGATGTAGGAGAATAAGAAATATTTCACAATAATATTTAAATTTAATGATGGGTTGCTGAGACTGACAACAGAGTGGTGGGTGTAGAGTTTTGAAGCCAAACTCAGAGTAAGCAGCAAAAAACATGTATCAGTGAGGAACCAACGGCAACATTCTTAAAACTGTACTCAAAGAGGGTGACAAACCACTCCAAGTGCTGTATCACTAAATATGTACTGCAACAAAATAAACAGTAAGATTTTTTTAGACACTGTTATGGGTCAAGCTAAGAAAAAAAAATCTATTCCTTGCAATTGAATTCTTTATACGCCTATAATCATATGTACAAGAATAGTAAAATTTAAGCACAAGCATTTAGGAAACAAGTTGCTTAGCAATTAGATATTTAAGACAGGTTTCTAAGCTGATTAAAAAACCACATTTGGTTTAGAGTACGCTTCTTTCTAAAGGAAGCATCACTGTAAAAGCAACAAGTAACATGCTTGTGAGCTTAATTTGAACGTGCATAGTTTTGTTTATGCTTTCCTTTGTCTTACAACAGGTAAGACTCTTTTACTGAAGAAAAATCATCAATTTTTCCAATGAAAAGATACGTGACCTCCAACTGCACGGTAATGTCTTTTTTGAAGAACTAAATGTACAGTTACTTTGTAGGGCTTCTCAGTATTTGCATCTTGACAACAAGACTTTAGAAGTGAATCAAACGTCAAGTTCGTTAATATCTCAGTCTAGTAAGTGTTAAATTAATTATGTTTTAAGTAACATTTAAATATTAAAAGTTCAGAGACTTCTATACAGAAATGCTGTATTTGTTTCACAACACTCTGTAATTAACTTCTATTATGTAGGTTCACATAACATACTTCAAAACAGTGAGGGCCACAAGAATTAAGAGAAAACAAAGGCAAAGGAAGATCCATGTGATAAACCAGTTGAAATTTTCATTCTTTGGGAATGTATACTTCAGGTAATTTATTTTACTTAATTTCAATCATAACACTTCGCTATGGGGTAATACTTGGGATGTGTTCTTGCAAGAGCAACATTTATTTATTTTTTAAGTATATACACAAAAAAAATGTTTTGAAAACAATTCTAAGCTAAATCCTAATTCCCACCAGTTAATTACTGAGAAAAAGCTCAATGCAATAGGTTATCGACAGCTACAAAGCTCTAACAGTCCAGCTGGTGGGGCTGTTGCCCATTAGGTCTCTGAAGTACAGCACTGTACAGCACAGGTGGCTATGTAGAACCACATGGTAAAGATCCAAGACAAATAAAACACTGGAAGTTCATTATACCACGGGGTTTGCCAACTTCAAAATACACATTTAGTTACACTGTATTAAGTGTTAGTAATATCTAGGGAAAAAAATGACACGGCCATGGCACTGCTACAAACTACATTTCAGCAACATAAAAACTTGCTACCATCCATTCTGCATGCCAACTGCGAGAAGTAAGAAGGAAACCAGCTTACAGACAGTGCTACTTTGATTGCACTGTCTCCAGAAGTACTCAAGGCCACTTATAAAACAGGCAATCTTTTATCCATTCTCTCCCTCCTCTTCAGTATTTTAGACCACAGTCCAACTATGTTTTTGCCCGATGATCTACTACCAACAGCATCTTTACTCTGCTCTGGGATGTGTCCTACCAATGGTATCGCTAGGGTCTGGCACGGCTGAAGGATGACTGGAAATCCCACATCTATACCAAAAGTTTAAAACCCACCACATTAAAAAATGCCAAGGGGCTTTGTAGGGTTTCCATACCATTAATACTGCTTTCAGCTGTTCTTGAATCCAAAGAACTATTCAAGAATACCCTCTATTTTAGCTTACAGTACAACTTAAAAGCATGAAGAAGACCATAGACATTAGAGTTCAAATGCATTAATATACTTTGAAGACTGTGCTCTTCACATGATACACTGGCATAACACTTTTAAATGTAATTTAAAAAATGCAATTTAATGCAATCTTTTAAATGCAATTAAAAAATAAAAGTAAAAAACCCACACAAAAAAAAACAAGAGTTAAAGAGATTCGATACCTTCCTAAATACAGGCAAAGAGCCACATTTTACATGTACATTAGCAAATCTACACTGGTCATCCTGCAAAAAGCAAAGCTCAGGTCCTCGGGTCTTTCAGGAAGCAGCACTCACCCCTGTGTGTGGTTTTCTCTCCCCTGACTCTGAGGTACATGTCGTGAGCTTCCCACTCCAGTACTGCTTTACACGATCAATGAGTAGATGTTTCTCAGAGGAAGGAGGCACTGGAATTCCTTGGGCTGCCAAATACTTAAAAATCACGTCTCGACAGACTTTTTTGCGTCTCAAAAGTTCTTCTACACTTTGGCTGTAAACCAAAATGGCATGAATGGCCTCTGCAAGTAAAGAAAACTAAGTTATCAGTTGCCTCTGTCACAATTAAAATCCAAACCTATGCCATTTCTTAAAATCCTGACCAGCACCTCCAAACATAGTACAAGATGAGTCTAAATGAAATGTGAAGACTTAGAACTTTGTTTGCAAACTGAAATCTGACCTAATCACATTAGACATAGAAGATACCCATAGACTTGGGAACATGTTTACAGAACAGGACTGTTTTCACTCAAGACTTTGCTACCTTGTAATCCCTACTTCCAGCAGCGATGGACACTGCATGGAACTTACTATGTATTATTTGAGCCTGATGAAAAGGATGCAACTTTTTCTTCCAAATGAAATTATTAATATTGTTCAAGTATTTTCAAGCAGTTTAGAAACTTCAAGTGCTTCAAGAAGTCTAAAGACTCTTGCATACAACGTATTTCACCTGTACTTCCTAAATTGGAGTCTCCAAATTGGAGACATGGCTTTGATGGATGGACCCCTCAGTGGATAAGGAATTGACTGGATGGTCACACTCAAATGGGCCCCAGTATAAGAAGGACATAGATCTGTTGGAGAAGGTCCAGAGGAAGGTCACAAGGATGATCAGGGGTCTGGAGCATCTGCCCTATAAGAAGACTCCTGTGAGACTTTACAGCAGCCTTCCAGTATTTAAAGGGGGCCTACAGGAAAGAAGGGAAGGGACTCTTTATCAGGGAGTGCAGTGATAGGATACGGGAGTAATGGTTTCAAACTGAATCAAGGTAGACTTAGCTTAGATATTAGGAAGAAATTCTCTTCTATGAGGGTGATGAGGTGCTAGAACAGGTTACCCCTCTCACTGGAAGTGTCAAGGCCAGGCTGGATGGGGCTTTGAGCAACCTGGTCTAGTGGGAGGTGTCCCTGCCCATGGCAGGGGGGTTGGAACTAGATGATCTTTAAGGTCCCTTCCAACTAAAACCATTCTACGATGCCTGACAGGCAGCTAGCCTTAACTTCAAAATAAGTTCATTTAATATGAAACCATTTAGGCCTTCCCGCTTCATATCGTCATACAGCACCTTGACTCAGCAAAAGCTGATCATGGTTTCGTTCTCCATTTGAAAAGCTCTGGGATATTTCAAAAGAAGCCATCCACCCATCTTTTGGAAGCAAGATTACACAGAGAAAGAAGAGCCAGACAAATCTTGTATGGTTCTTCAGAATATGAAACGTGAACCTTAATTTCTGCATTAAATGGGTAGTCCGCACGATTTGGTCAGAGAACATATCGTTATTCTGAAGAATATCTGAAAATCTGCTAAAAGCCACTAGCAACCGCAAGTTTCTTAGCCGAAATAAATCCCAAACCCCCAGCAGCCAAATCCCGGTGCTGCTCGGCTGTACGCAGGCCGACCGGAGAAAAAGGCTCCCAACAGCTACAACCGAACAGAACGCAGACGCATGTGTTGCGCAGAGCCCTACAACGGGGCAGGCCACTGCGAAATCCCCCGGGCAGCTCCAGCACACTGGCCCACCTC